TTGTCTTCCTATGCACCAAAAGGTCACAGGTTTATTCCTGGTCAGGGCCCATACCCCTTTGAGGGCTCCATACCCAGTAAGCAGTGGTTCTCAACCTTCTTAATGCCGCGACCCTTTAATACAGTTCCTCATGTTGTGGTGACCCCCACCATAAAATTATTTTTGTTGCTACTACCTAACTGTAATTTTGCTACTGTTATGAATCGTAATGTAAATATCTGATATGCAGGATGTATTTTCATTGTTACAAATTGAACATAATTAAAGCATAGTGATTAATCACAAAACAATAGTAATTATATATGTGTTTTCCGATGGTCTTAGGCAACCCCTGTGAAAGGGTTGTTCGACCCCCAAAGGGGTCGTGACCCACAGGTTGGCGACCCACAGGTTGAGAACCGCTGCAGTAGAGGGTCTCCAGGGGACAACAATTGATGTTTCTCTCTCCCTCTCTCTAAAATCAATAAAAAAATTTAAAAATAAAAAAAAAAAAGCACCAAGGAGGAGTCCGTGCCTGGGTAGCTCAGTTGGTTAGAACATCCTCCAGAAAGCCAAGGTTGCGGGTTGGATCCCCATCAGGACACATACAAGAATCAATGAATGCATAAAAAAGTGGAACCACAAATCATGTCTCTCTCTCTCTCTCTCTCTCTATCTCTCTATCTCTCTCTCTCCCCCTCCATCCCTCTCAAAAATCAACAAAATTTTTTAAAAACAATAAAAGCGCTAAGGGGAGAAATATGCATAACATCAATAACCCCTCCAACAATATATGGAGTGGTTGGACAGTTAAAGGTTGTAGGGGAAGGAATTTTTTTCTTTCTATCCTTTAGGTTTTCTGCTGGGGCTCTGTAACAAAAGATTAGCAAGAGAAAAACTAAAAAGTTTGTTAATATGTATATCATATATACAAGAGAGAAACTCAGGTATGAGTAACTCACAAAGGTGGCTAGAGCATCCTAACAAATGAACAATAAATTTTTATGTAAACGACAAAAAGAAAAGGACCTTAAATATTTACAGGCATCAAATTATGGAAAGGCAAATATAAGAGAAACATATGGTAGGTAAAGACCAATTAGTAAAGTTGGTTGTGTAGATTCCTCATGTGCAAGAAGGGAAATCTTTGAAAATTTATGTTCTCTTTTGAGGAAATAAAGAGCTCTTCTTGTATCTGCTTTTCAGTTGCCTTCAGCTAAAAATAATCCTTATACCAAAGTGACATATTCTGAGGTGGCAAAGTCTACTACCCTTCACTATAATGACCAAAAGGAAAAAATGACCACTACAAATATGTTGGGATCAAATTGTATAGTTTAATGAAAACATTTTACAAACGTTGAGAACTCAGCCACGTAATATTATTCTGTTACAGGATTCCAGGGCAGGAGAAATAGGGAAACTAAGACAGGAAAGTTAAAACAAGGCAAACAGTATGGGCAATTTGCAGCCAGCTTGTAACTAACAGGCCATTATCTTCCCCAGCCAAGCACAGGAGAGCAAATGGTTAACAAAACCTCCCTAATTAGAGAATGCAGAAAGGGAGAAGGAAAGGGGAAAGGGAAAAAGGGCAGTTTTACTCCCTCAGCAGAGAAGCCAGCAGTCTCCAGACTTGGCAAGATAAAGTTGCCAGGTGTGTCTCATGATTTCTGGGAAGGCCAAAACAACTACAACAACAACAAACAGCAGGGGTGGGGGGATCTTGAGAATTAATCTGTACCAAAATATTCAGCAGAGGAATTTTGAGACCTATAGACAGGAGGGAATATAATGCCTCAGACTCCCATCCAACCTGCTCTTCAGATGTGCTTCTTAAGCCAGGTGTATAGGTTTGCTTGCTTTTGCTTTTTTTCAATAAAGGTGCATGCTTTAAATGCTTTAATAAATTGGCTTTTCACAACGCAGGCAAGGTCTCTTGTATAAATTCATTTCTATGAGAAGACAAGGATCGAGGTTGGGGACAGCCCTCTCCTGCTGGCTGAGGGGGCTGTCTTGTCTGGTAACATGTCTCTGGTATTGGTGCGAGGTGTCTGTAACAACTTGGTATGGCATTGATTTTAAACTACTTAAACGCAGGCACATAATAAAGTTGGATGTAAATAATGTATGTGAGTGGGAAATAACGGGAAAAATGCTCCAAGTCCGATGGACACACATGCGGTGACGGTAGCTGTGTAACCGGACCCCTATCACCTGCAATAATCTTTAAGGTCCGTCTATATGTAGGAAGACTGAAGAAAATAAACTGCAAGTTATTTTATTAGAGAGGTGCAGTATTTCTTATAGTGGCTTTCTTTTTAAAAACACCGATTTAAAAATAATTTTTAAAGAACGACTAGCAATTTTTTTCAGCCATTTTCACAAACGTGAATCAAAAGAACTCTGAAAGGAAGCTTAAAGATTTGCAGCTTCCAATAAGATGAGGAGAACAGAAGGCACCAGAATTGCATCCTTACTTAACGTTGTCTTGTGTACGATGTGCAGCAGTCCCAACAGGAAGGAAAACTACCATTTTCTGGAAGTAAGAAGTCTGTGCAATGCTGCCTCCCACAGAATAACATCACACAATTTTTATTAAAATCTCAACGTACTGCCCGGCTGGTGTGGCTCAGGGGTTCAATTTCGTGACACATGAACCAAGAGGTCCCCGGTTGGGTTCCCAGGCAGGGCACCTGCCCGGGTTGCAGGCTCGATCCCCAGCAGGGGGAGTGCAAAAGGCAGCGAGTCGGTGTTTCCGCATCAGAGATGTTTCCATCTCTCCTTCTTCCTTCCTCTCTAAAAAAATCAAAACATTAGAACAAAACGACGTATTACAAGGTAACAGACCGGAGAGTACAAAGGGATGTAATAAAATTTGTGAGTACAGGTCAGGCACACAATCGGAGCGGTTGTTCTGATTATTTGAAACAAAACCCACCAGGTTTTCAAATAAAAAATATTCTCTCCCAGTCAACTTGCGGTCTTCCATTCTTTGCAGAAAAGTCTGGAGGTCCTCAAATATCGCGAGAACTTTTAACTCTCGCTTGGCTAGGAGGTACTAGGAGTCGAGGCCAAGGATTGGCCAGTCAGGAGGAGGGGCCTCTTCCGCCCCGCCCCCGTTGCCGGGATACGCAGAGGCGCGGAGCCTGCAGTGGTTTCAGGCCTGCGGACCCAGGAAAGCTGTGCCTGGGTGGGCGAGGGGCGCGTTCCTGGGGCGGCGTGGTGCTCCCGGTGGTGGCTTAGCCGAGCCTGCCGACCTCCCTCCTGCCGCGCCGGCACAGGTGA